CCTAATTTGAGATAGACTACCTTAGGAGAGATTTTGTCTGGTCAACTCTTGGACTTCCTTGAGCAATTTGAGGACCTCACTTGACATGTATTGAGAAATATGGGAGGGCAAATTTTGGGGTACAACAAAAGCACCCAGCATTTTTAAGAAAATATTAGTCATCTCCTTCTCCTCCATGGGAGGAATCACTTGGGCGGCTACCTCGCGCCATCTCTGCCCATACTCTTTGACCGATTACCTGTCTTTCTGAACCATGGCCCTAAGTTGATCATAATCAGGTGCCATGTCCATGTTGTACTTGTATTTTTTGATGAACACTTCTCCCAAATCATTAAAAGTATGGATATTGGCGCTGTCCAAACTCATATACCACTTCAGCGCAACACTGGTCAAACTATCCTGAAAAAAGTGAATCAGCAGACGCTGATCATCAGTATGGGTAGACATTCTTCTCACGTACATCACCAGATGAGCACGAGGGCAAGTGTTTCCCTTATACTTCTCAAATTCCGGGACCTTGAAATTAGCAGGTATCTTAACATTCAGGACCAAACATAGCTCATTCACATTCTGCCTAAATATCTCTTTTCCCCTGAGGGACTTCATCTCTCTTTGCATCTTGTCAAATTACTCTTGAAAATCATCCATTCTGTCATAAAGACCCAAGTCTTCACTCGGCAAAGGGAAAGGATGACACACGTCATCATTAACAAACGGAACCATATTCACTGAGGGAGGTGCAGCAGGATCAACATGCACCACAGGAGGTGCCAAAGTAACAATAGTCTAAACCTTTGGAGTATCTTGGGGACCTAGATTGAAACCTTCAGGTGCGAAATTCTCTGGCATTCCCCATGGATAACCTTGAGGTATGCGATTCTGAACAACAGCCGGAGTAGAAGATACGGGAACAGTCGGAGCTTCAGTAGTTGCCCTTGTTGGTTGAGGTTGAACACTCAGTGGCTGATTCTGAGAAGCCACCAGCGCTTCCATCAGAGTAGTTAGATTGGCCATGCCGGCTTTCAAAGCAGAAAATTTCTCGCGCAGCTCGCGATTCTCCTGTTCTAAGTTGTCCATCTTCTTTTTGAAATTAGCCCGAGTGTTGTAGTGATGAGTCAACTTGCTGAACGAAGTAAAGAAGCTTGGTAAGACACCTGGGTATGCATAACAATGCAAGAAATATGTGCAATATGATGCATGGCATGTAACGCACATGATTATTTTTACTTTATTATTTAATATTTCAAGGGATTTAACCTCTATAGACATATTGCAAACATCAAAGTAATAACGCTTTTGAAATACTGAAATTTTTTTATTATAATAACTCCAAAATGGATTACAAGTTTCAATGATCTCAAGTATAAGATGAAAATACAATCTAAAATCCTTAGAAAAATAACTGATGGAGATCACTCTATACGCTGGCACTTCCCCGTGAGTCTGGAAATTTGAGCCTTCAACCTTTGGTTTTCTTCCACATGCAAGATGGCAACCTCCTTCCAATCATCTGAATCAGGAAGTAAGTAATCAACACCTGATTGAGGCTTAGGAGAAAATAAACCCCCTTGCCTCTCCATATAATCTATCGCTCGACTCTCAAGAATCTCAATCAAGACGTCTTTCTCTTTCAGGTCTACTCTGTAGGAACTCTCTAAAGTTTAGAACTTTTTCTTCCAAGCATCCCTTTCCTGTTGCATCCTAACCAAACAAGTTGCAGCTCTTCTAGGTCATCTAATAAGGGAGAAGTGGTCTTCACAAATAGATAAGGCATGGGTGTTTCCCGGGTATACGACATCTTTAACTGAATAGCTCTCGATCGGATCCTTTGAAGATATGGCTCCAAAGAAACAGCACCCCTAGGTCCCAAATCCTTCCTACTCTTCTTATAAATGTGACACCAGGCCTTCACATTCTGATCCCTAGCTTCCTTATGGTCTTCCCCTTCCTTCAGAAAGAAACTACTCAAAGGAATACTATTCAGTTTATCCCTCATCGGATAACCAAGCTGTCGTCGTGCAAGAACAGGTTACAGTTAATTCCTCCCTTTGTACAAAGAAGAGGTATATTGGGGAAATTACCACAACTGTCAATAATCTATACATCCTGGTAAGCTCGATGATACCAATCAATTTCCGAGTGAGTAAGTTCCATGATCTTAGGAGCCCAACGGGGTTCCTTCTTGACATCCCAAAAAGCATCAGACTGAGGCATATGAGAGATAAACCACCGGTACAATAAAGGCGTGCAATAGATAATCATCCCCCCGTGATAAGAATTCCAAAGATGAATGGAGTAATAAGCATCACCTAATAAGGTAGGAACTGGGTTTCCAATCATGAAAATCCTGATAGTGTTAATGTCGACAAACTTGTCCACATTAGGAAATAAAAACAACCCGTAAGCAAGTAGAGCAAAGATGGCCTCAAAAGCAATTGTACTCTTCATTCTGGAAAAGTAACGAGCTTTCTCCAATAAGAGCTGAGCTGGTAATCCTCTAATCCGTCCTTTGGTAGTCATATGGGCTTCCACCTCAGACTTCCCCAGGTGAATCAAAGCAGTAATCTCATACAGTTTTGGCTCACCCTCTAAACCAGTAAAAGGAACACGATCGGTAACAGGTAAATTCAATAGATAAGAATACTCATCCAATGTAGGCATCAACTGATAGTCGAGAAAAGTAAAGCAATGATACATCGGATCATAGAACTGGACCACGATCGAGAGAATACCCTCCTCCATCTTCAACTTCATGACAGGAATAATGGACCCATACTTCTTCCGAAAGTCTGCAGAACACTCGAACTCGAGAATTAGACTAATCAACTCATCTATCTTGGGATCCGTGAAACTGTATTTTCTGGTCTTTCTCTTTCCAGAATCCATGGTTAAAAGTACCTGAGATATGGACAAATAGTCAACCTTTAAATCCCTTGAAATATGGTTCCTTCAAATGATGCTTATGAGTGCATGAATACATGATGCAACAATCACACACAAGATCACACATATAGGGTTCATAGGTTCAACGTCACGAGCATGAGTTCGAAGGTACTACCCATAAGGTGTTGGTCTAAAAGTTATCACCTATCGAACAAGGTTCTAGAGGTTCCCAGAGCCTACATCATTCCTTCGGATATTACCAACTTCCCGATTAACTCAGTAATTAGTAATATTCTCAAGAAAGACTCGTCTGAGCGTAGTATTGCGTGACAACTATTTACGGATTACTCCATCATAGCTTCCGCACTACACCTAAAAGGCCAAGATGGGTTTGGTATTCTACGTTTCTCAGTTTTAGCAGGATCCCAGGTCGAAAGCAGTACGTCTTCCCGATTACTCGGTAAACGATACTACAGTCAAAGTAACCTCCACTGAGTGGGAGATCTCATGCCTCCTTTTTTGGGATTACTCCCTCAAAGTTAACATGACTATACCGCCCATCCTATCTTAAAGTTTGCCCAAGTCCGGGTATAGGACTTATGAGTAATCACCAAGAATCTTGAAAACCAGGAAAATCCAGACAAACATATATACAACATATAACACAAAAAGAAAGAACAGTAATATCACATATACAGATATAAACAAAGACAGACTTAACCCACTTAGGGATGGACCAGCAAGAGGTCAATCTCTCCCCAGTGAAGTCGCCATTTTTCTGTAGCTGTAGAAATGTTCAAGACTAAATCATTGGATTGACTAGACTTTATACAAATCAAAATAAAAATCGCCACCGGGGTTTATTGTTTCCAAAGGAATGGGAAAATAGAAAATAACCCGAAAAGAGTGGTAAAGATTCAAGGTAAGGGGATTGGTTATGTAAAGGGAATGTATTAGCACCCTAAACATCTATGGTACTCCGCAGGAGCCTCTTTGTAAAATCTGTATATTTTAGATATAAAGAAATGTTGTATAAAAATGCATGGTGGAGGTGAGAAAAGAAATATATCGGAGTAATAATTAATTGTTGGATGAACTTTCCTTCCTCTATGGTTTGAGCAACTTCTCTATCAATATTATCAAATATGGCTTTGTTCTAGTGCTGTAGAGTTCCTTTTAGCCTTTACAATTTATGATAAATTTTGCTCTTAGGATTATTTATGTATAGTAAGTTTCAATTTGTAGCTATGATTTTTATACAATCCTCATGGTCAAACCAAAGTCTAAAATTTTTTAAACAATAATGGTAAAAAGGACCGAAGTTTAATAGTCAATCCTCATGGTCAAAGCAAAGTTTAAAATTTTAGATACAATCCTCATGGTTAAACCAAAGTTTATTATTATAATAATAATTATTATTATTATTATTATCATCATTATTATCATCATCATCATTATCATCATTATTATCATTATTATTATCATCATCATTATTATTATTATTATTATTATTATTATTATTATTATTATTATTATTATTATTATTATTATTATTATTATTATTATTATTATTATTATTATTATTATTATTATTATTATTATTCATTTTTTTCCAATCTTATCAATGGAGTTTATCACAGTTCATCGTAACTTTTAATGATTCTTTAATATATTAAAAGTAATTCTATTTAAGTGAATTCAAAAGAAAATTTTAATTGTTATTGTATATTATAGTAGGGAAATAAAGAAAAGATCATGATATGATATAAATTAAGACAATATATTATGTAAGGAAATATTATAAATGATAATATATTTCAAATTTCAAGGATCACGTATATTCTAAAAGTTGCAATTGTATTATTATAAAAATATTAATGTATTCTTATTATTAGAAATTACTTTGTATATTATTTACTTATTATTTTCTTTTCAAAAAAACTAAATATCTTATTTCCAATTATTTAAAATAAAAATACATTTCTCGAGTTTTCTTTCATATCTCCTTTGTTTACTATTAACCTATAAATAAGTAGTTTTCCATCCATTGATACAACAACAAAAACATACATTTTGGTGTAACAGTTCAAAGAAATTTGATAAATAAACTTTGTCTAATGGCTAACTGCATCTCAAACTTAAACTCTCTATATATCTTTGTCATTTTGGTTTTATTCATTGAATGTAAGTTTCTCCATCACTAAATATTAGTTTATCTATTAGTTAAGGTCCTCTCTATCTTTAAAGATTAGTCTATATAGTTGTTTGTACATAATATCCAATTTATATCGAAAAAATTTGAGAATCTCTAACTAATATTTGTTTCATTATTTCATAGTGCAATCAACACAAGTAGGAGCTACATGTTCAAAAATTATGGGGAGATGTTCTTCTCAAGATTGTGCTGCACAATGTAGAAATTATCCAGGTACTGATGGGGGCTCCTATTACTGTAATTACTTTGGCTTTTGCACTTGTGTTTTTGATAAGGCGCCTCCTAAAGTTGATGGAGAACGCCCTTGCAATATGGTGCTACAACTTTGCGATGCTACGTGTGATTCAAATTGCTGCAAATCAAAGTGTGCGACAATAAACAAAAACTATGTTAATCCTACTGGGGATTGTATTCAAACTTTTGGATATCCATATTGCATTTGTTCCTATGACGAATGAATTGATAATTGTCAATTTAAATAAATATGGTATTAAAAATTTGTATGGATCACTATCAATTGAATTCCTCTTATCAATTGAAACAAATATTGTAATAAAATGTGTTGATTATTATTCATTGAATTGCATTTCAAATCCAGTCCTAATACCTGCACTTAGAAAAAAGTTTATTTATTTATTTATTATCTTTATATAAATATAATGTAAAAAATAAGAAACATTCTTTTTTCCCATCATTTTTAAATATTTGAGTAAAAATTTAAAAAGGTATTGGGTATTAATTTTGTATCTAATTGTATAACTTTACTAATTTATATAGATTATAGTTTTTTAAATGACAAATATATATATATATATATATATATATATATATATATATATATATATATATATATATATATATATATATATATTACAAAATACCATTAGTTTACTAGAACAATAAAAAAAATCAGTAAACAAAAGTTGAGAAAAACACAAGCGATCCGCTAGACCAAACACCAAGGAAAAAAAATCACAAAACAAAGAACCATCGGAAAGAGAAAGTTGAGGGGATGTAAATTCAGCCACATTCAAGAAAAAATTAAGGACAATTGATCACTCAATATACTCCTAAAATTGTAGGTGCCATAGTGGATCACATTCTCAGTTAAGCAAAGAAATATTAGATGTCGGAGCATGAGGTTAAACCCAATTCCAAGTCAAGTCAACAATTAAATTCATCTAATGATTGGACTTTCTCACCTGAAAAAAAATAACTTTATTCTATATTTTTCAAATAATATAGACCATAGAATGTCAAATTGAAAGTAGGCAAAAGAAAGACTTTCGATTTCACATTCAGTGAATGGGTATACCTTATACGAACAGACTTAAACTTCTCTAAGCACATCGCAAAACTCATTCCAATGATGACAAAACTGATCTAGCGCCTTGCCAGATTTCGTCTAGGTAGTGTCATACTCTGAAGGAGCTTCTAAGAGAAATACTATTAGAAAAAATAGTTTTTATGACAACTATATCACCTCACATATTGTAAAATCGAGGTATATATCTTATATGCACCATGTTTTTTTCTTAAAAAATATATACTATATTATGTTTGTTTTTCTTGAAAACTGAGGGTTAAATGAATTTAGTGTACGCGCTTCAAATCCCGTTATCTTTATATTATGTTTCCATGTCATTAAAAATGGCGCCTTATTGGATATTTTATTTTTTTATCTAAAAATAAACTAATTATCACCTTGATTTTGTTCCCTAACCAAGGTGAAATTATTTTCCTGATGTATAAATCTTTAGCTTGTAGCATTCAATTTCACATTTCTAAACCCTATCGAAGAGCCCTGAGCAAGTGAGCCAACTAGATATCCAGAAACAATGAGGGTCATAAACACATGTCGTCTTCAATACGATTATGTTGTACGTCAAAGATCCAAAATATTTTCTTTCACTTCTTTTTCAGAGATTGGGTATATCGAACATCAATACTCATTTTTATTGTTATTGATGAGTTCGAGTATTTATATTAATATTGATAATCACAGTATGTTTTTTGTGTAGATCTCATCTTGTTCCGTCGAGTTGACTTTATTATATCAAATGTCGATTGTTTGTTTCACTAACTCATCTTTGAACATATAACCTATTAAATTGATTATTGAAATAATCATATGAAAATTTTTGTTGTTTAATCTTACATTGATTAATATTTTTATAGCATTCTGCAACTCATCATTTATCTCTTACTTTTTATTGTTAAAATTTCTCCAATACTTCTAATTTTCATTCAGAATCTGAGTCTTCAGAGTCTGATCTTCAGAATCTGCATCTTAAATCTACTCTTTAGATGTTCAATACTGTGTCATAACTGACTTTAAATAATAATTTTAATCTTTGTTCCTACATACTTGAACATATGTTAGTTTACCCAATTGTTTTTTAAATTATTTATTATCATCAAAACCTTGTTAGAATTAATTTAGATTTTATAATAAATTAGATATTAATTTATATTTAAGAATATCTTTTAGATTGTTTAAATCTTTGTTAGAAGATATATATCTTAGATCTTCTTATATCTTTGTAAAAGATATATTTTAGATTTAATTTGTGTGTATAAATAGCCTACTGGAGTAGGTTATTGTAATTCATTGTAAATCCTTATTTTTGAAGCTATCCATAAATATTCCTTTTGTCTTTTATATTTCTTGTGCTCCAACAATTGGTATCTAGAGCTCCAGTTCAAAATCCACGGGAAATTCTGGGTAAATTGCATAAGGTAGAAGATGAAAGGAAACTGTGGCGATATTTATTCCAAGCTTCTAGTATTTGATGGGAAAAACTGGAATCGTTGGAAGATCCAGATGTGCGTGTTATTTGGTTCTCAAGATGTGTTAGATTTTGTCACTGATGGATATAATCTGTTAGAAGCAGACAATAGAGGCCCAGAAGATAGCGCAGAAGGCGCTTAGTAAGAAAGATCATAAAGCGTTGTTCTACATCCATAAATGTGTGGATGTGAATGTGTTTGAGAAGATTGTTGATTCTGAAACAGCAAAGGCTGCATGGGACACACTGGTCAGATGTTACGGTGGTAACGCATCAATGAAGAAGGTGAAGCTTCAGTATCTCAGAAAGCAATATGAGAATCTCAACATGAAGGACAATGAGAAGATTTCTGAATACATCTCTCTCTAGAGTGATTCTGATCACAAATGAGATGAAAGCTTGTGGAGAAACTCTGTCTGAACAAGTAATTATTGAGAAGATCTTGAGATCTTTAACTTCTCAGTTTGATTACATTGTTGTAGCAATTGAACATTCCAAATATCTGAGCACCATGAGAGTTGAAGAGCTGCAAAGTAGTCTAGAGGCGCATGAGTTACGTATGACTGCGAGAACTTCTGAGAGGGAAGTAGAGTAGCAGGCTCTGAAAGTAACTTCTGGTAAGAAGCATCAGAAGCAGACTTGGTCAGAAGGCAGAAAGAAAACTAATAGTGGTTAAAAGTCAGAAACTTAAAATTCTGATAGGTAGAAGAATGTCCAAAAGGGAAAGGGGAAGTCTGACAAGAAGAATATTCATTGTTACTGTTGCGAGAACTTTGGTCACTATGCCAAAGATTGCTGGTCCCACAAAGAAAGGAAGTCAGAAGAAGCAAATATAGCAAGAGGAGAGTATGATGATGAACTTGTGCTATTGTTGGCTTTTGAATCTAGTTATCTGAATTCATCATAATGGTGGTATATGGACACAAGATGTTCAAACCATCTTACTTGAAACAAGAAGTGGTTGGTTGATTTTGACTCTGGGAAGAGTACAAAGATCAGATGTGCTGATGATAAATACCTCAATGCAGAAGGTATGGGAAATGTCAGAATCATTTTTAAACAATGGGAAAGCAATAGTGATCTAGAATGTTTGTTATGTACCTTGCATGAAAAGCAATCTGATGAGTTTGAGACAACTGGTTAAGAAAGGTTTTTCAGTTACCATGAAGGACAATCTTCTTAAGCTGTATGACTGTAATCAGAAGCTTATTATGGAGTCAGAACAGGGAAGGAACAAAACATTCAAGATGAATGTTAGAACTACAGACTCTGAATGTCTTAGTGCAACAAGTGTTGTCCAGGAGAGCGAGTTGTGACACAAAAGTTTTGGTCATCTGAATTTCATAAGTTTAGGGCATCTGAAATCAAAGAATCTGGTATAAGAATTCCTACAATCAAGAAGCCTGAAATTTCATGCAAGGTGTGCATGGAAGGGAAGCAACCAAGATTACCCTTTGCATCAGAATCTGATGAGGAACTGTAGCAGTAGAAATGTTCAAGACTAAGTCATTGGATTGACTAGACTTTATACAAATCAAAATAAAAATTGCCACTGCGCTTTATTGTTTCCAAAGGAATGGGAAAAGAGAGAATAACCCAAAAAGAGGGGGAAAGTTTCAAGGTAAGGGGGTTGGTTATGTAAAGGGAAGGTATTAGCACCTTAAACATCTACGGTACTCCGCAAGAGCCTCTTTGTAAAATCTGTATATTTTGGATATAAAAAAAATGTTTTATAAAAATAGATGGTGGAGGTGAGAAAAGATATATATATATATATATATATATATATATATATATATATATATATATATATATATATATATATATATATATATATATATATATATATATATATATATATATATATATATATATATATATATATATATATATATATATATATATATATATATATATATATATATTATAATTTTTGCACCCACCGCGGTTGCGAATCTTTAGTGCCTACGTACCACCTTTTCGTGCAATAGGGGATCAAGGTACACACACTTCATCTTTTAAAATTTTTAAACATAAATGCGTTGGTTAATTTTATAAGATGAAACATCATCGTCATTATCTGTGTGGAAAACATACTTACTACCCACAATCATGAGAAAGGAGAATTTGAATCCTCTCAAAGTGGAGGATATGACTTGGATTTAAAAATCAACAATGCCTCACTCAACACCTAAGTTGAAAATATCTCTCTTCACTACATATTATGGACGTATAGTTGTTTGCATCACTACAAGGATTGACAAGAGTTCCATCTTTTGAGAAAATTTTAAAGATAAAAAAGACAAAATGGCAAGATGGTTTGAAATGAGATTGATTGACTTTTAGTCTTCTCACAAAAAAATATCAAGGTATTATTAAGTTGATTGGGATTTCTTTATGAAAATGTTTTGAAAATACATGGGCATAAGTCCAAGTTTATTATGAAAGTGGTTCAAGTTTAGAAACAAGAAGAGTTTTCAAAAGAGGGAAGAAGATTTTTGAAATTAAAGAAGATGGGAGGAGAAAAATGGACTATCATAAAGCATAAAATAAAAGCTAGGGATGAGAACCATCTAACCAATAAGAATCCAATACTTGACATTATGAGCCAAGATAGATTTCCCATTCCTTGGATTTAAAACCAATCAAGCAAAGAAATACTAGACCTC